CTCTCTCTATCTCTCTCTCTCTCTCTCTCTAAGATTTTTCATCGCGTATCTATCTTTTCGCGCAATAGTTTCGAGAAGTATCGAGAACAACGATATCGTTTAAAATTTGATATTGACCGAAAGCGCGTTTAGTTTCAATTGATAATAATATTTTCGATGTGTTATCGTTCGTAGCACTTTATGATTATATTCCCTGATCGAAAAGTATTCCGGTGGATTTTTTCATTTTATTTTTTCTTTCTTTCTTTTCTTTCCTTTTTCTTTTTTCTTTTCTTTTCTTTTCTTTTCTTTTCTTTTCTCTCTTTTTTTTTTTTTTAAATCCACACCGTCGCGTTATATTTCGATTATAATTAATTATCTTTTTTTCCTCTTCTATTTCTTCTACTATTTCTTTTGAGACTCGATCGATAATACTTTCAATATTTTAGATATAATGAAATTTTGGTTAGTAGAAGGATGTGGAGAGGTGGTGGAAGGAGCAGGGGGAGTGGATGGGTGATAGAGTTTGGCGGTTCGATTAAGGAGATAATATTTTTAATATTTAAAATATGTTCGCGCGTTAGCGAAACAACATTTTTTGATTTGCGAAGAGGTGAATAATTCATTCGTAGAAAAAGAGAGAGAAATAGAGAGAACTAGAGAGAAATAGAGAGAAATAGAAAGAGAGAGAGAATGAGAGAATAGGATGATCAATTCGATGGAGAGATGTGGGAGAAGAGAGGAGAAAAATACTAGTAGTAGTAGTAGTAGTAGTAGTAGTAGTAGTAGTAGTAGTAGTAGTAGTAGTTGTAGTTGGCAGGGACTAGTAAAGTCATCGACCTTGTAAGTCATCGACGACGATAAGAAAGAAAAAGAGAGAGAGAGAGAGAGAAAGAGAAACACTGTTTCTTTTAGCTTCGTGCGGTTCCGCGATGGTTCCTCGAGAATATAATATATATATATATATGTATATTGTGTGTGTGTGTGTGTGTGTGTATTGCGTATGTCGCCGCGTCGGCCATGGCCTTGGTGCGTATCGCACGTGGCACGGGTTCTCTCGTCCCTGAAATTCTCCTCCGTCCTCCTCGCGAGCTCCTCCTCTTCGTTCTCCTCCTCTTCGTTCTCCTCCTCTTCCTCCTTCTTCTCCTTCTCCTCTTCTTCCATCTCCTCCTCTTCCATCTCCTCCTCTTCCTCTCCTCCTCCTTCTCCTCCTCCTCCTCCTTCTCCTTCGATCGTCGCAGCAAGCAAGCAAGCTAGGAAGCCGACCGATGATAGGCTGTCCTCCTAAACTGGCGGGAAATGAAAATCCAACGTTAGAGTTGGTTTGGTTAGTTGGTACGCGTAATATTTAATAGTAGTAGTCATTGTTAGGTCGTTGCCCGATATCCGCCAATTGACGTGTTCCTTTTCTTATATATATATATATATATATATATATATATATATGTATATTTATCTGGGTAATCTATGTTCGTATCTAAAACTACTTAAGTTAAATCGTATGAGGTAGAATGAACTATAAATAATATTTAACAGTGGTGACGAGAAAAAGAAGAGAACTAAAGTAAAGGGAAAATAATTGAAAAGGAGAGAAAATTATAGAAAGAAAGAAAAAAAATTGAAAATTCAGTCATATATATATATATATATGTATATATATAATCTATTCCTAATAAAATATGTTGTTATTAATACTATTAATATTTTATTATTATTATTATTATTATTATTATTTGAGATTATTAATTCGATCAATATGGCTTTTTATGAATTCTCATTTATTATTAGAAGGATAATTATTAGTTACATTCACTGGTATATATATATATATATATGTGTTTGTATCATTATAGCGCCGTTAATTAATTTATTTCTTTTCTTTTTCTATTTTTCCTTCTTTTTTTCCTTTTTTTTTTTTATTTTTTTAATAATCGGTACGACGGTTTTTGCGCAAGGTAAAGATGATTAATCGTTCGTTCAAAAGTTAAGTTAGACTATGCTCGAAGACAAGGTCGAATATCATTACGGTCTTCTCTATCTCACTTTCTCTTACTCTTATTTCTCTTTTTCTATGTATATATATATTTATGTATTTTTCTCATTATTTTCGCTCTTTAATTCTTTTGTATTTTTTTTTTTCTCTTTTTTCTATGGCATCACCCTTTTGTTTTTCCTTGTCCTTCAATATACATTTGGCTAAATTAAAAAATGCATAGAAACTCCATGATTAATATTTTATATCTCTCTCGTTGTTTTTGACGACGAAAGGAGAGAGATCGCGTTAGATTGCGTTCTATCTCTCTCTCTCTCTCTTTCCTTCTCTATCCCTATCTCTTTTTCTCTTCTCGCGTGCGTCATCTTCGACCAAGAACAGCGTGTATTTAACACTCAAAATAGTAAGAACGCTCTAGGAATTCAGTATCTCTTGTAAAAATAATATCGTGCGTGTTCCGACGTAGAAACTAAAAGGATTAAATAAGAGAAAACAAGATAAAAAGGAAAAAAAAAAGAAAAATATAATAGAAATAGAAGTTTGGACTTAACGATCAAACGATTATTATCTTTGATTTAACGTAAACCAACCATAAAATACTAAAGT